TCTGCAAAACGTCTGGACACCCTCGTACACACTGCCCAAATATGCGACAGTCAACAACACCACAATGACAAATTCGACCTTCAAGCAGCCAAATCGCCTCAACACAAGCACATCCCACTCCTCAAGTTCAAGCCTTGACAACAACGCAACCTGCACAAGGGATAAGAAACATCGTGAGCTGCATGGCGAGATTGTCGGACTCTTGCATCACTGAGTCACCACCGCACTACTCACCAGAAGAACAACTTGACGAAAGCGCTCCTCGCCGCGAGACACTGGAGCCGAACCCGACATACGCAGCCATCGCCCAGAGCGAGCCGTCCGGGAAAGACACTTGGTTCTTAGACAGCTGCTGCGGACAACATATGTGCTCCTTGGGTCGCTTCGTTCAACGCGAACACCAACTCCAGCGCGAAGTCGTCATCACCGTAGCCAACAACCAGAACCTGCGCACACGACGACAAGGGATAGTGCAACTTCAGTCACGAGAAACCAACGTTATCTTGCAAGTGTCCAAGGTCTTAATCGCAGAAGGACTTGGCTATAACTTACTGAGTGTCAGTCAGCTGATGGCGAAGGGTATTCACCTCGAAGCGGACAGCACCACTCAGGAGTTCAAGCTATACCACGGGAGAGGCGGACTTTACATCGTGAAAGCGGTGTTGAAGAACAGCGTCTTCGTCCTTGACTTTGTTCCAGACTTAGGCACCGCCAAAAGCGACGGAATCGCGACCTTCACCTCCTGGACACACCCACCGGATCTTGACCCTAACTTTAGCCCCGGCGGCTTCTGGTATTCGCACACTATACCTGAGGCAAAACGAACAAGGGCGTTAGTAATAATTCAACAATCGGCAGCAGCAAAGATAACATCGGCAGCAGCAGAGACAACACCGGCAGCAGCAGAGACAACATCGGCAGCAGCAGAGATAACATCGGCAGCAGCAGAAACAACACCAGCACCAATCGCTGGCCCTTCAACAGCACCGGTCCTCGTCAACAACACACCACTGACTCCCACGCAGCAGCTGAATCCAACACCACGAGAAGTCCACAGAAGCGCTAACTTCACTACAGGCTTCTACTCCAACTCCGACTTGTACAGACGTTCACCCGGACATCGCGCTACTGAAGGAACCTGGCACGCAAGAATGGGACATCCAAGCAATGCAACGCTAAACAGCACGATAAGAGCAGGCGTGCTCGACAAAGACTCACTACTTCTAACTGACGGCAGAGAAATTCAGCGAGTCCGTGGAACGTGCTTCACCTGCCCTGAAGCCGACTTACCGCATCGACCGTTCGTCTCTCACCACAACCCGAGCGCACCAGCGTACGCACCTCTGGAGAAAGTATACAGCGACATTCTGTACAATCGCGAACCTGGACAAGGAGCATACAACTACGTAATCACGTTCATCGATGCCGCCACACGATACGTTTGGCATCTCAATCTTCCGAGCCGCGACATGGCCTTCGAAGCCTTCGTCGCCTGGCTTCCAGTGGCTGAACGAGAATCAGGCGTAAAGCTAAAAAGCTTCCAGTCAGACGGAGCAGGGGAATATACGTCATAGCAGTTCAAGGACTACCTGGCAGAACGAGGAATCAAGCGTCTCATCTCCCTTCCATATGCCCATCAACAGCAAGGTGTAGCAGAAAGGATGAACAGGACCCTTCAGAACACCATGCGCTAGCTGCTACATGGCATGCGGCTACCCAACCACCAGTGGCCCGAATCAATGGACCACGCTGTGATGTTGCACAACTTGCTCTCGTCATCATCACTCCCGAACAACGCATCACCGCATCTGCTGTGGACAGGAAAGCTGGGCAGCACAAGAATATTGCGAGTCTTTGGCTGCACGGTACAGCACCGACCCCCATCTGCATTAGCCGGCCGATTCTCCCAACGCGCACAGTGGGGGCTACACCTGGGCATCGAAAAACATTGCAACGCATGGAAGATTTTCGACATCAACACAAAAGAAATAGTAGCAGCACGTGATGTCATCTTCAACGAGAACCTTACTCTTCGGACATACCTTGCCAACGTGGAAGAAGGAAACCCAGACCTCTCGGGCGGATTCCTTGGCACCCGAGCCTTCGCCTCGGCAGAAGATGAAGCTGACTGGGACGAGCAGAACGTGGAAGGAGCCTCGGAGGAAGCCGGACCTCTTCCCTACTGTTCAATCGATGTTTCGATGGACGGCGACAACCCTCGCGAAAGCATTAACGCCGACGTCTACTACCACTTCGCCGACAACGGTTGCGTTACACCTGCAAGAGTCAACACCGATGAAGCAGAACGCGTAGGACCCAATTTCATACCTGATCCAGAAGCGGGAGATGAAGCAGTCTATCCCGAGGACACAACTCTCCCCCGCTACACACAGAGCGGACTGCAGATACTTGGCCTCGTCACCGCAGTCCACGGTTCAGCCCCACCTAAGGAGTCTACCACGGTTCAGCAGGCTCTGGGGGGGGAACACAGGGAAAAATGGCGCGAAGCCATGGATAAAGAGTTAAAGGCGCTGGAAGAACGCAACACCTGGAAAGTTGTTCCCATCGGCATGGCACGCAACAAGACAATTCTCACCGGAAAATGGGGTTTCCATGTGAAAACCAAAGCAGACGGCACCATCAACAAGTTCAAAGCACGTTGGGTCGTACGCGGCTTCGACCAAGTGCACGGACGCGACTTCATCGAGACATTCGCGCCGGTTAGCAGACACACTTCACTACGGATTCTCCTCGCGATAAAAGCCATGAAGAAGAAGAAACTACGCCAAATTGACGTCGCTAACGCCTTCCTCTACGCACCTGTCGACGCTAAGATCTTCGTCGAGCTACCACACGGCTCCAACGGAGATCCTAACCAAGTGTGTCAACTACTGAAGTCTCTATATGGCATCAAGCAGGCTCCGAGACTGTGGCAGCAGTATCTACACGCTCGACTCATCCGCATCGGATTCCGCCAGCTACCGCACGACCAGGGCATGTACCGACTCACGAAAGGCAACGACTACATCCTAATTATCGTCTACGTGGACGATGTGCTCTACATCGGCTCAACCGACGGCATCACAACCTGGTTCGAAGGGGAGCTGCAGTGGGACTTGACACTCACCGTCTCGTCCATCGTGAAACAATACCTCGGGCTCAACATTCAGGAGGAAGAGAACACGATCTACCTCAGCGCCGCAAAATACACCGACACCATCGCCAAACGCTTCGGACTCACCCCGACTACTATCTCCACACCATATCGCTACACCGCCGGAAATCACAAGGAAGCCTCCGCTCCACTCAAACCTGCCGGCATACGCGATTACCAACGGAAGCTGGGATGCCTCCTCTTCGCAGCAGTCACTTGCCGACCGGATCTATCGTACTCTGCGAGCCAACTCGCCACCTACCTCAAGAAACCTGAAGCAAAGCACATGGCGGAGCTCGACCGCGCACTACACTACCTCGTCTGCACCCCGACGATCAAACTAACCTACTACAAGAACGGAACTATGACGCCTAAACTGATCGGTTACGTCGACGCTGATCACGCCATCGACTCTGACAATAGGCGCTCGCGCACCGGCTACATCTACCGGCTCGAGCCTATCGGGCCTATCTCGTGGCAATCGAGCAAGCAGGAACTAATTGCTCTCTCCTCAGCTGAAGCAGAATATATTGTGTCAGAATGTTATATTTGTCTAGCCTGCAGTGGGGTACTCTATAGCGAGTATAGCCCAGATTAGGGTTTGCTATACGTACTCAACTGCCTGCTAGTGCAAACCCCTCTTTCTTGTTCTAAACTTCACCTTCTACTTTTGACATATCGCACTCTGCTTAGCCACCAAGGAAGGACTGTATCTTCATGAACTGCTGGAAGAAGCGAAGTTGGCCCAGTTACCCAGCTTCTCCCTGTTTTGCGACAATCAGTCATCGATCCGCATAGCAAACAAGAGCGGATTTGCGAACAGGACGAAGCACATCGCACTGGGATATTTCTTTGTGAAGGACGAAATCGAGAAGGGGAAACTCGAGCTGTCCTACTGCCCCACGTCCAAGATGGCAGCTGATTACTTGACCAAGAAGCTCGGAAAGCAGAAGTTCGAGTACTGCATGCTGCTAACTGGACAAGGCCACGTCACGTCACCAGCAACGACACTCAAGAAGCGAAGGGAAGTGTTGGAAACAAGTGATTTAAGCGCTTCTGTTGTGTCGAAACACTAAGTCGTAAACGAAACGAAGCACAACGAAGCATCGGTGAGTCAACCATCGAAGGTTGAGAAGAAAAGTAACTGCTGGAGGTTACGCGAAAGTAAAAGGTCAGCGACCTTTGAACTGACAAGTACAGCGCGACAGCAAGAACAAACAACTGACTCGTTATTGAGCAGTTGCCCGAGTCGTCACTGTAGCGAACCGCAACAGCAACAGTAAAACGGTTATTAGTTGTATCTCTTCATATTCCTTGTACTCTTATAAACACCTTGTATCTCTTTGTTTTAATCAATCTACTTTGCCCTCACATACTAGGTAGTGCAAGGTGGTTCAATACTTCTTATCAAAACGCTTCCGCAGCCACAGTATTCCTACTCTGAGTTTAGTCCTGCAAAGATCCTAAGGGCTTTCTCAGCCCAACAGCCCCCAGGCCATCAACTCCAAATTCCCCTTCCTCTCTCAACACCTCAAACCCAGCTTCCAGCCCCTTCCCTTCACAGACATTCTCAGACTCCCTCCTCCCACCACTCCCTCCGTTTTCCTTTTCTCTCCCATGCACCAGCAGCACCACTCTACCGCCATCCACCAACCATACCAAACAAGCAACACCTCCTCCTTTTTCGCCTCATTCCTCTCCACCCATGAGCAGCTCTGAAACCAAAGCTTTAATCCTTCGACAGTGCGTGCGACAGCGGCGTGTGCCTTCACTTGACATCTCCACCCTTGGCCTGTCATCATGGCACCACTATCAGCGCGCCAACTTTCCTCCTCTTTTCCCCTTTTCACCAACTCATCCCCTCTTCCGCTCCTCCCCTCCCCCCCTCTTCCCCTCCTCCCCGCCTCTCCTCCTCCGCTCTTGCCCCGAATCCCTGCACCCTTGCTTCGCATGGGCATGGCACTTTTCCCCCACTAGCCACTAAGCGCACCACCCTTGCCCCTCCCCGCTTTTTCCCCTCTCCTCCCCGTCCGTCCCCCTTAAACCCCCAAACCCTGAACCCCCCAACCCTGTCATCACCTCTCCCCCCTTTTCCCTGCACTCCCTCCCCCTTTCCCTCCGCTCTCCCCCTCCCGCGCATCAGTATCGCCCCTCCTGGGGGAACGGCAGCGGAACCTCCTCCGCATTTGCGTAGAACTCCTCTAGGCGGTAATAATCGCGCTCCTTAGGAGTAAACAGATGCACTACCACGTCGCCATAGTCTAGTAGCGTCCACGCGCTTCCCCCGCGGGCGCTCCCGCCGCTCCCCCTATCCCCGCCCTTCTGCTCGCGCGCGAACCGCGGCGACTCCGCCACGTCGCGCATGCGCTTCGCTATAGCGTCCATCTGCGCGCGCGAGAAGGCCGTCGCTATAACGAAGTACTGCGTCCAGTACACGAGCGGCCGCACGTCGAGCGCGATAATATCACCCCCCTTAGCGTCACTCGCGGCGACAGCCAGAGCGACCGCGAACGCCTCGCTCGCCTCGTCCGAATCCGGCGGGAAACGCGGCGCGGCGGACGATGTTTCTTCCGCGGCTCGTGACGCAGCAACTGCGCTGCTGACGGCAACAACCCCGTTAATACCACCTTCGCTACCGTCATTCAGCTCATCTTCATCCCCGGTATCATCCTCTTCTCGTACAAGCTTGTACCCTGCGCTGCTGCTGCCGCTCGTATCCTCTTTAAGAGTCTTCCCGTATTTATCGAAAAGCTCGTCTAATTCCTCCTCGTCCCACTCCTCGTCCGACCATGCGCGCTTTCCCCCTGTCTCTCCGCTTCCGCTTCCGCCTTTCTCCAGCTCCGCCGCCAGGAGCTCTTCTTCCGCCAGCATGGCGGCTAGCAGCTCCTCGTCTATCTCCTCATCCTCGCTATAGGCCTCCTCTTCCTCGCTATAAGCCTCCTCGTCCTCGATGTACACGTCCGCCGCGGCTTTCTTAGATGAATCTTTTCCGCTGGCAGGGTTTCTGCTTCCACCATTCCCAGCGGAAATAGCGGATGATCCACGTGTCCCCGCTGTTCTACTGGAAATCGTTCTTAAACCCTGGAATGGGTGGGATTTCGGGTTTGCGATGGATCCATGGCGCTGCGACACCCGGCAGACTTGACACGTGGAAAGGCTTCTTCGCCGAGCGCTTTGCGAGGGCTGCGAAGGGGGAAACGATGTCGCGAATGGCGTCGCGACAGCGATCTTGAGCGCAGTAGACGGCAGCGCGGCTGCCATTGGGTCAATTCGGTACCGTCAGCAGCAGCAGGTCAGGGTAGGAAACAGCTCAGTTTTTTTTTCTTTTATAGAATCTGGGAAAGGATCGGAGCGAGTGTGACGGGGTTGTACGTAGCGCAGACAGACAGAACAAGAGAGATTCGAAAAGTAGCTCGCTATATGATACGTCACCACCGAGTCAGGTGATGGATCAAGCAAGCGGAGTTGTGGAAAGCTTGGTGATTGACAAGCGATGAGAGAAATATATCTTCGTTTGACTTTTGATTTTGGTACCCGAGTTTTACGTCTGCCAGTCGCATGTTCGGACTCGAATCGGTTACTGGATTGTCTAAAATCGGCGCGTTCGCATAGGTCACCTTCCATCTTCGCGAAGCAGTCCACTGACTGGCGAGGTCGAGTCCGCTACACTCCGTTCGAGCTCGATCGCAGTTCACGTGTCACTTTCGAACATACATTCCAGCGATTTACAACGGTGCAGAGATCGCACTACCATACACCATACGCACCGTACTGAACCGCTGCTCCACCAATTTCCCTTCTCGCCTTCTCCTGTGACAGGTGAAGTTATCTTCTCTGAAATTGCTTCAACTTCACCTTTGAGGAATCGCTAGAGAGGAGCGTGGTTCTTATGAGACCGTAGAGCAAGTGCTTCTGCTCCTCATGCCTGTCGTCCCGTCGTCTGCGAATGGATTCGCAGGAAGGTTAGGGCTGTGGAGCTTCGACGGGAGGAAGTGAATCGCAACCTATTTGCAGTACCTGAAACTTGCGACAGTTGCCTAGGCGCAGCCATTAGAGCAATATAACCCATTCGATCCTCGACCACGCGGGGTTGACACGTACCAATCGCATCTTGGACTTTTCAGACTCTAGGCTTTTTTACGACAATGCCTGAAATCAAGGAGTGCGTCCGAATGCCTTTAAAACGCCATTAAGAATAATCTTAGTTGGTGACCTAAAACCCACGTACTGCTACAGCTGCTGTCAGGACCAAGGCCATTAATCAACAGAACGAAGAAACCGACTCGTATTGGGTCATATTATATCGCGAACGATGAGCAAAGCAGGAGGAGGCGGAGCGGGATCCGCGCTAGGTCGAGCGGCCATGGGGTCAGCAGCGGCCGGCCTGGCTGTGCAGCGACAGCGGGCCTTGCAGCAGCGCGTGGACGCTGACGTCATCAGCATGGTGGAGAATTTCACCAACATGATCAAAGCGGCCAAGGCAGGCTCATCCTCCCTTCTCCAAAACGTTCTCCAAAACGTTCTCCAAACATTCTCCCAAACGTTCTCCCAAGCAGCTGATTAGTTGAACTTTCAGTCTGGAGGTGTTAGGGGCTGATGAATCAGGTAGCAAAATTTGGGGCTGATTTTCCATTCCTGATGTTGTCCCACCTAATCGCCTCTGTGACTCTTCTGAACAGCCGATTGTCTCAATACGCGCTTTTTTATCCCCCAACCTCTCCTCTTCCCCCTTCCCCTCCACCTGTCTCTCCCCTCCCCCTCTCCCCCCCAACTCCCTCCCTCTTCTCAACCCCACTCCCCCCCACCCCTACCTCCCTCCCCCCGCTTCCTCCCCCCTTACTCTCTCCCCACAATCCTTTCCACTCCTGTTCCTCGCTTTCCCCCGTGCACCTCGTTTGTCTCCCTCTCTCCCTCTCAGATCAACGATCCTGTTCGCAACGCCCAGGAGGCGTACCAGATTGAAGTGCACTCCGCCAAGCTGGTGTGTGGTGATGGTGCTGGGTGGTGGTGGTGGTGATGGTTGTGGTGATGATGGTGATGATGGTGATGGGTGGTGGTGGTGATTATGAGGTTGATGGGTGATGATGGTGATGGTGATGGTGATGGTGATGGTGATGGTGATGATGATGATGATGGTGATGGGTGATGATGGTGATGGGTGATGGTGATGGTGATGGTGATGGTGATGGTGATGGTGATGATGGTGATGGGTGATGATGGTGATGGTGATGGTGATGGTGATGGTGATGATGATGATGATGATGGTGATGATGGTGATGATGATGGTGATGGTGATGATGGTGATGGTGATGGTTTGCATGATGGTCGGGATTAGGGGCATGCTGATGTGGGTACTTCTGTATTAACGCTTATATTTCTTTCGTTTTTGGCCTGTAATTCTTTCTTGGATCTCTTTATTTTTCGATGGTTGCGGTAAAATGTTTAGCATTCCTCATTCTTAGAAAACCCTGACACTTTTATTTCCCTTGATTGCATTGTTCCTGCTGACAGGCAGGGGGGTTACTGTTTGCATAAATGGCCGCACTGAATTTGAGAGTTTCACATCCCTTCCCGTTGCTGTTTGTGTGGCAGGTGGGAGCGGCGGAGTCTCTCCTAAAGCTAGTGGCGCAGTTGAAGCAGACAGTTGTTTTTGCGGATATGTCTGCATTGAATGCTAGTGTGGAAAAGCATAAAGAAGATTTCAAGGAAGAGGCTAGTGTGGCCAATGAGGTGGTTGCATGTGTTGGGGAAAAGGCTGCAGCGTTATTGCATGAACTCGAAAATGTATATTACATATCCAAGCTTAAATAGAGTGCTCGAGCTTTGATTTACCCGTGCATTGATCTATTTTGAGGTGGAAGCTTGCTAATCAAACCTTGTGAAGTGTACCGCATCCTCATAAACAAATCCACATCACAGCCAGTTGACCAAGGTCAAGAGGAGGATGTGTTACTACATACAATATATTCATCTTGGGCGTAGCTTATCCGCGTTCAGTACAGTACAGTCTCCGCGGATTTCTCTTGTCGAGTACAAGTGGCCTAGCATACGCATACTTTTATAGCAAACGCAGTTTAATGGGGCGTTTCAACTGCTTCAGAAACTGCAAGGCTACCGTCACATGTTCCTACTTTTAATCTTATTATGTGCCATGTAGTATTTGATAACCAGACCGGTTTATGGAAATATACTGAAGCGTGTACCGGCTCTCTCCACAAGGAAGAGTCTGACGTGGTCAATCGGTTCGCGCCAATTTCTGCTCCACCCCTTGCCTGCTTGGCTGCAACTGCTCTGCAGATGTTGCTGACAGCGCACCGCACCTAGTTTCTACAACCAATCAGCATTCGCAACGAGCGACTCAAAATCCAGTTTGAATCTGGTTGGAGCATTTACGATGCGCCTCGCACTGGTATTGGAACTTCACACCTGGCTGGCCCCTTCCTCCTCACTTGACTGAGCAGCACTACGTTTCAATTATATTAAAATTGGGTGGCATGATTTTGGTTACCTTTTAGTACGGTTTTGAGAGATTAAAGGTTTCCACATTCCAGCAAGGGCTGGTTTTGGCGCGAATCCATACTGCCCAGCCACACAATCCCACAAGCCTCCTCTCCTCGTCTATCCTGCGTCGTCGTGGCTTTCAGGTTTTGTATACTACTCTCTCCATTTAGCTCAGGTCAATATCATATGAGCAACTAGTAGTCCTTCCCCCCCCCCCCCCGGCGAAGTATTAGCTTGTCAATTAGGACTAAGCCCGTCACAGGAGCCCTGGCCAGGGGCGCTTGAGGCTGCTAAAAAAAGAAGTCGCTCTCGATACTCGTTCCTGCAATTCCCAGAAACATTTTTTGAGCCGTGCTGAAAAGTTGAGACAGCTCTTGTGACGATTCAACGTTTTTCCACATAATAGTAAAAAGTAATAATAAAAAAAAAGGCTTTCCTCAGAAATGACAGGTGCTGACGGACACAGAGGCAGCACAAAAGGCGGCACTACCGCGGCAAGCGGCGGGAGCATATGGGCGGGAGACGATGTAGCTGTCCGCGTCTTTCCGTCGCCATCTCCGCGAAGAAAACTCCAGTCGCTCTCGCGAATAACCCACTCGTCACCGCTTTCGCCAACAGCTACCTCACCACCCCTCAGCCCTTCCCGACTGTTTGCGTTGCCACCCGCATATCGCGAAAGAGTTTCGCCATATCGTGACAGTAGCGTTACTTACTGCGATAGATCTAAACGAAGCTCGGGCGGACGCGGGCGGGGAAGCGGAGGTAGCGTAGCAAGTGGCGCGACAAAAACTCTACAGCGGGAGCGGAGTTGCGGCGCAAGGGGGTTCCGCGCGTGGATATGCTCCGCCGGCTCCGCTTCCGCCGTTCCGCCGCTGTTCCGCTTGCGCGCGCTGAACAGGCTCCCTCGCGCACCAGCAGGCGGTGGCTGCGTCTCCCTCCTGATTTTAATCGTTCTCGTTATAGTCACCTTCGGTACAATCCTCCCTTATCTGCAATCTGAACGACAATTCTTCGAAGACGTTTTGGAGGAAGCGCGGGCAGCTTTCCGACGCCAAAATCTCATGAAACCGGTCCAGTTGCCGGACGCCACGTCAGGTACTATTTTCGAGGTGCCCGATGTTGTCGGGCAGCGGCGGTTCAGACAGCTGCTGAGTGTCGACGATGGGGGAGGTGGGGAGAACGGGGATAGCGGAGAAGGCGGGAACGGCGGGGAGGGCGGGAAAGGCGGGGGGGGTGGGGAAGGCGCAGCCTTGGAAGGAACAGGGCTTCGGGATTTGCAGGAGGAGCAGCGGCGAAAGCAGCAGAAGCAGGAGCAAGGGGGGTCCGGTTCTATGCTTGAAATGGTGGTAACAGTCGAACCATCGCCAACAGACGTTCTTACTAATAGTACCGGGTCCGTTACAAGCGAGAACAAACTCTTCGTGGATTCCCCCAAGGTACAGCGCGAGTTGCGCGCAGTGGAGGAGCGCAGCGGCATTCCCTGGGCCTCCCTGCCCGCCGCTTGGTGGGGCGACGCCGCGCCATGGCCGAAACTACCGGGAAGCTACCTCTGGGACGACCGTGGCAGCAGCGAGAACGATAGTATCGAAAGTGACAATAACGAGAGCGGGAGCGACAGTGCCTCGGGGGCGCTCCCCGGTCCCCGTTCCCCGCGCCGCCGCCGCTTCCTGTTCTTCTCCCTGCGCAACGAGGCGTGCGCGGGCGTGGCGCACACGCGCACCAGCCTCGCCTGCCAGCTGTCCGTCGCGCGCGCGCTCCGCCGCACGCTGCTGGTGGACGCGTCCAAGTGCACCGCGCCCGAGCACGAGCGCGCCGCGGGCACGCGGCGGCACGTGCAGCCTTTGTTCGCGTACTTTGACCTGGCGCGCGTGAGCCTTGCGCCCGTGCTTCCGCTGCAGCGGTTCGCGCAGGAGAGCGCGCGGTGGGGGGAGCGGAACCGGGGAGGGGCGGGGGATGAGCAAGGAGAACGGATTGAGAATGGGGAGAATCGGGAGGATGGGGAGTGGGCGCAACAGGGGGAGCGAGGACGGCAGGTGAAGGGTCAGGCGGAACGGTTAACTGCTGCAATAGCTCCGGAATCGGCAAGCCTGGAGGACCTGCTTCGGCTATCCGAGCCTGACCTGCTGGTTCGGCAGGCAGCCACGGGATTTGTGGACTGCGAAGATCCCAGGAACGGCGGCCTGGTGTCTTCTGATTGGTCGGCCATAGAGTACCGGCAGGAGCTGTGGGCGGTAGTGTGGCAGATTATAGCGAGTATGGACGGAGGGGACTATGATGCTGTGCATGTGAGGCGGGGAGATAAGGCGAGAGATACGAGTCGCTGGCCCAACCTTGCTCGAGACACCTCTGTTGAAGCGTAAGTTGATCAATACACTTATGTTCAATCATGTGAAAGAAGTGAATTTCTGTGACGTCTAAATAAATTCACTCCTTTGCCAACCTTGCTCGGAACACTTCTGTTCGATTGGACGTTGCACGAAACACCTCTGTTCAAGTGTACACTGCTTGAAACCTGCACTCGTTTCTCATAGTCTTGACTCTTTCACTACGCATTTCTTTCCTCTTGGTGGAAAAAACACCTAGCCTCTTCCTTCCTGCCTCATCCCCCTATTCTCTTTGCCCTCCCCTTCCTCTCCCTCCCTCAGCCTACTAGAGAAGCTCCCCCACCTCATTCCCCCTCGGGAGACCGGTGCACATCGCGAGTGACGAGGCCCCCGCCTTCTTTGACCGCCTGGCCCATCCCTCTTGCCGTGTTCCCTCCCTCTGCACTCCCCTTCCTCTCTGCCCCCCAGCCTGGCACAGAAGCTCCCCCGCCTCATCCCCCCCGGGCAGTCGGTGTACATCGCGAGTGACGAGGCCCCCTCCTTGTTTGACCATCTCGCGTATACCCTTATGCACCGCTCTGCCTTGTTCCCTCCACTTGCTCCCCCTTCGCTTGCCCTCCCTCAGCCTGGCAAGAAGCTCCCCCGACTCATCCCCCCGGGCAGTCGGTGTACATCGCGAGTGACCAGGCCCCCTTGCCCCCTCCTTCTTCAACCATCTCGCCCAAAGATGGTCGCACCACCCTCCCTGCGTCCTCCCTCTGCCCTCCCTTTGCTTGCTTGCACCCCCAACTCAGCCTAGCACAGAAGCTCCCCCAACTCATCCCCCCCGGGAGGTCGGTGTTTATTGCGAGTGACGAGGCCCCCTCCTTCTTTGATCCGCTGCGCGCGAGTCCAGGCGGGCAAAGGAACGAAGTGGGCGGAGGAAGGGAAAGAGGGCAAGGGGAGCACCAGAGCGGTGGGGGCCAAGCGGTGCAAGTGGGAGACGAGGGGCAAGGGGGGGACGGGGGGCAAGGGGGACAAGAGGGCGGAGGAAAGGGAGGGGGTGGAGGGGGCGGAAGGGGGCTGTACCGAGTGCACATGCTGGGGGATTATGCGCACCTGTGGGGGGAAGGCAGCGACTGGTGGAGGGCGCAACTGGCCCTCATGAAGGGGCAGGGGGAGGTGGCATTTGATTCGTACATGGAGGTGAGTTCTGAGGCCTCGACACTCAAAGAGAGGGGTGGGGGGGTGGGGGGGGGGTGGCATTTGATTCTTACATGGAGGTGAGTTCTGAAAGGCCTCGAGACTCGTGGGGGGACAGGGGGAGGTGACATCTGATGCCTGTATGGAGGTGAGCTCTGAGCGCCCTCAAAACCCATGTAGGGGCAGGGGGAGGTGGCATCTGATTTTTCCATGGAGGTGAGGGCATGGTGGGTTGTGAGAGTGAGGCAAATATGTGCATGCATGGGTGTTGACAAGAGCAGCTTTGATGAGAGTGCTCTTATGCTGTGGCATGGAGGGCCTGGGGAGGTGGCATTGATGCTCACATGGACGTGAGGGCATGGTGGGTTGAACGACCGAGACAAGAAGTGCTGGAAGGTTTGTTGTGTTCTGTGAGATGATCATTCTTTATACCCTACTTCCTTGAGAACATTTTGTTATTTTCCTTTCATTGGATGCCTTACACAACTTACGCCGGTAAGTGATGTCATTTGCATTCCAACAATGTAGGGATGTCTATATGGTAATGGTCCCCCCCCCCTCCTCCCCCCCCCCCTCCGTCCATTGAATGGCCTTCACGAATGCAACGTCCACCAGGCAATAGTGGACTATTCCGTCTTTGCGGCGGCCCGAAGAAGAGTGGAAACTTTCAATGACTTGACAAACGATCCTCGGAATGGGATTTCACCGTGACTACCATTTTTTAATAAGCATTAACATTGGAAACAAAAAATAGGGCACGCGTGCTCCCCAATTTGGCTGTGCTATGGTTGAGTGATTATATTTCGCCTGTCCAGTTTCCAGCCGCATTGTGTGCGCATGCGTTAGTCTCTGTCGATGATTGACGAGATAGTGGGTGCTGAGATGATTTGTAACATTGAGAAATGCAGGTACTTGCGCTGTAGTACTTTAGGCTATTGGGTGTATAGTTGCAAATGCAAAATTTGATCACCTTATGCCGAAGTTGTCAGAAGCTATGCATTTCTGCTCTTGATCTTCTTTTGGCTTCGAGAAATTCCTCCAGGTTTTGGGTCAAGAAATTCCTCTTGAGTTGACGGCCACATCGCCCAAGCGATTTCGCCAGAGTTTCCAACGGGTCCCAGCAGTCGAAATCTTTGTTCAGAAAGCAGCAGAGACGAGGGGTGTCCTGGCCGGAAGGAATGTTCAGGAGGTCCACCGAAACGTTATTCTTTCGTGCATCAAAATATTTAGCACCGTCCCCTGTGACCGTTCAGGTTCGCGGAGGGAAGAGATTTTGCGTTCAGGTTCCTCGACAAATTTCGCTCCACACAGCTGGCATCACAGTGCGATGGGCGAAATTGCGACGAAGTCTTGGTCACCTGGACACCGTCGCTCACTATCGGTCACAACACCCTTCTGACAGCAAAAACTGCCCGCGAGACCAGCTCAAGACAAAAGAATTTTCAATAGCACCCGTCGGCGTTACCCGCCCTCCGGCAAGTTGGTCGGTTCGCGCTGATTGAATCGCACTCTCCACCGAGCCGCATTTCGTAACATTCCAATGTCGCGGCTTGGATGCGGGATTCTCCTCCCCTCTCCCCAGCACCGACCGTCTGCCACATGTGCCCATATGGCATGTGGAATGGAATGGACATGGAAGCCCTACAAAACCCGCGACCACTGTCAGCATACCAACAACACATTCTTTCGACAATCATTCTCGCAACGAAATTCATTCCCAGCGTTTCTCTCAACCCTGCCACCTTTTTGGCATTCTTCTCGTCGTCACCGCCAGCATTTCACGTGCGACAGCTCCTCTACGCTAGCTATGACGGCCACTCGTTTGCTCTGGGCGCTTCTGGCGATTCTCGCCCTCTCATGTAAGACCCTCTCATTCGGTCACCGAAATACGGTATTCCAGTTCTCAACAATGGTTTCCACACATGTCAATCTCGACGCATGTAAGAACCAAACTCCCATCGGATCTCTCCGAACATGCCATTGCTCGAATCCCGTTCCCTGTTTACTCTCCCATGCTTCGTAAATACGATGCTCGCTCTCCCGTCCTTCAGGCCACTCTGACGCCAGAATGCTCCAAGCAGTCCCCGCCATTCCCGCCGACCCCGCCATCCCCCCCGACCCCGCCAACCCCGCCGACCCCGCAAACCCCGACGTCACTACCAATCCCGTCATTATCACCGATCCCGTCCCCGACTTCGAGCAACAAACCTTGGAACCTACCGACAGTCCCGGAACTCCCGCTCCCTCCGGAAACCTCGCCGGCACCGCCGCCGCGCCGAACCCGAAAGCGAGAGGTCCCGCCGGCCACAAGGTCACTGCCGCCAACCCCAAGGGCAAGGTGAATGCACCCAACCCCAAGGGGAAGGCCCCCGAGGGTAAGGCTGCTCCCGGCGGAAAGCAGGCTCCGGGCGGAAAGCAGGCGCCGGGCGGAAAGCAGGCCCCGGGTGGAAAGCAGGCACCGGGCGGAAAGCAGGCGCCAGGCGGAAAGCAGGCGCCAGGCGGAAAGCAGGCGGCAGGAGGAAAGCAGCAGGGCGCAGGCGGCGCAGGCGCAATCCGCGGACCAAAGGCGCATCCCGCCCCCAGCCCCGCCGCTGGTCCCGCGGTCGCCCCCAGCCCCAGCTCGGCGGAAAACAAGAAGAAGCCGCTGGGGAAGCAGGTGGGGAAGGTGGGGACCGTTCTCCGCGGATCGTCAGTCATCACCGCAGCCGGCGGCGACGAGAACGCAACGGGCAACGCGATCCTGACCGTCTATAAGAGCGGCGCGAAGATGAACGTCAGGTATATCCTGTCCGTGCGGCGCGTGTCTGCGGCCCAGCTGCCGATGGGTGCGACGATTAACAGCGGCGGAAGCAACGCGACTGGGCCGGTGGTGGTCGATTTCGCCGGAGCTGATTGGGTGAACACGACGGGCGTTGTTCGCACGCAGGCTGGTGACGTCGTTCTCGCGTCGTCCGTCGCAGAGAACTCGACGGAGGCGGCTGTCGCCGAGGCCGCGGACGTCCATCTCAGCTATGCGACGACTGGAGTGTGGGAAGACGTCGCCAACATTCGCACGGCCTCTGGCGAGGCCCTTTCCACCGTGATCGATAAAATTCTGGCTGACCCGGGCAGCTTTTACCTGGTTGTCGCAACCCCGAATTTCAGCGAGGGGGCTGTGCGCGGGCAGCTGCGCAAGGGCACCGGCGCAACTGTGCTTCCGCCAGGCCATCAGCGCCAGTGGGAGCAACGGGGGAAGAAGAAGGCAGGTAAGGGGGAGAAGGGAAAACCTCCCCGCAACTAGCCTTCTCAACCGAGCAGTACACCTCGTAATACTCCCCGATTTTGTAGAATCTTCATACAAGATCCATCCTCTGTTTGGATCTTAGCTTCTTTTAGTGTAGCTAGTAGCAATTTACAATGGCATGCATATCTTACTGTAGCTTGATACCATGCGATTAGATGATTGCTGGTTGTTCTGAAAATGATACCATACCGTACTTTCATACAAACCAGGCTGAAAACAACAGGGATATGCTTTTGGCCTCACCAGCAGAAGTCTCTCGGTACCGTATGTGAGTCTGCTAATGTTGCACGGTAGTATGCTAACTCAAGCCACCCAATCATGCATCTGATAGGGTGATGATGGTGAATATGGGGAAATAAGGCGAGCTAGGCTAGGCTACGGCTGGGGCTGAGGATAGGGCCTGGTCAGGGCGACAATTGAAGTGACTGAAAAGTCAAGGTCATTATCTGAGCCCAGTCAGAACAACTCAAGATTCATTCCGTGCTGGAATGAGTTGGCAGAGTGTGGTGATGGTGATGGGGTATGAAGATGGGAATGCAGGTAGGGAAGGCTAGGCAAGGCTATGTCTGGGTAGGGCTGGGTAGGGCTGGGTAAGGCTGGGTAAGGCTGGGTAGGGCTGGGTAGGGCTGGGTAAGGCTGGGTAGGGCTGGGTAGGGCTGGGTAGGGCTGGGTAGGGCTGGGTAGGGCTGGGTTCATCCTTAGTCAACTCAAAGGTCATCTCAGAGACTCGTGTGCTGGATGAGTTGGGAGAGTGTGGTGATGGTGATGGTGATGGTGATGGTGATGGTGATGGTGATGGTGATGGGGTATGAAGATGGGAATGCAGGTAGGCTCGGCTAGGCCAGGCAAGGCTAGGCCAGGCAAGGCTAGGCCAGGCAAGGCTAGGCTGGGTAGGGCTGGGTAGGGTTGGCTAGGGCTGGGTAGGGCTGGGTAGGGTTGGCTAGGGCTGGGTAAGGCTGGGTAGGGTTGGCTAGGGCTGGGTAAGGCTGGGTTCATCCTGAGACACCTCAAAGGTCATCTCGATAACTCCCATGCTGGATGAGTTGGCAGAGTGTGGTTATGGTGATGGGGTTTGAAGATGGGAATGCTGGTAGCCTCGGCTAGGCCAGGCAAGGCTAGGCTGGGTAGGGCTGGGTAGGGCTGGGTAGGGTTGGCTAGGGCTGGGTAAGGCTGGGTTCATACTGAGTCACCTCAAAGGTTATCCCGGAGACTCATGTGCTGGATGAGTTGGCAGAGTGTGGTTATGGTGATGGTGATGGTGATGGTGATGGGGTTAGAAGATGGGAATGCAGACTGGCCCGGCTAGGCCAGGCAAGGCTAGGTCTGAGGCGGATGGGGACAGAGCTAGCAGGTGGGTGGTGATGATGGGGGTGAAAACAGGGATACGGGTCAGGCAGGGGTAGGGAAGGGTAGGGTAGGGTAGGGTAGGGTAGGGCAGGGCAGGGTAGGGTAGGGTAGGGTAGGGTAGGGTAGGGTAGGGTAGGGTAGGGTAGGGTAGGGTAGGGTAGGGTAGGGTAGGGTAGGGTAGGGTAGGGTAGGGGCCAAGCACAGGGCCTACGCGGGCTGGGGCCAGGGGCGGGGGAAGGGCAGGGGGGGAGGGGGCGGGGGCAGGGCAGGCGGGGGAGGGAGCGGGAGCAGGGCAGGGGGGGGGAGGGGGCAGGAGCAGGGCACGGGGGGAAGGGGGCTGGGGCAGGGGAGGGAGCGGGCAGGGCACGGGGGGAAGGGGGCGGGAGCAGGGCATGGGGGGGAGGGGGCGGGGGCAGGGGAGGGAGGGGGCAGGGCAGGGGGGGTGGGGGCGTGGGCAGGGCCGGAGGGGGAGTTGCCGGGGGCAGGACCGAGGGGGGGGGAGGAGGGGAGAGGGGGGAGGAGGACAGGACAGGGCAGGGTGGAGTGCGGCGGGGGTTGAGATCAGGACACTGTGTGCATGTGCAGATCACATCACACTCAACGCAGTGAACAGTCTGAAGTGACTTTTGAGTCGACTTAAAAGTCACCGCGTTGAGATCAGATCAGGACACTGTGTGCATGTACAGATCACACTCAACGCAGTGAACAGTCTGAAAATGCCCAACATAGTCTGGCTGGTGGTATGGCGGGATTCGAGATGGAGTTTTAAGCTTATGGGGAGCAGATGGCATATGGGGGGAGAGCAGATGGCATATGGGGGGAGAGCAGATGGCATATGGGGGGGAGCAGATGGCATACGGGGGGAGAGCAGATGGCATATGGGGGGAGAGCAGATGGCATATGGGGGGAGAGCAGATGGCATATGGGGGGAGAGCAGATGGCATATGGGGGGAGAGCAGATGGCATATGGGGGGGAGCATATGGCATATGGGGGGAGAGCAGATGGCATATGGGGGGAGAGCAGATGGCATATGGGGGGAGAGCAGATGGCATATGGGGGGAGAGCAGATGGCATATGGGGGGAGAGCAGATGGCATATGGGGGGTAGCAGATGGCATATGGGGGGAGAGCAGATGGCATATGGGGGGAGAGCAGATGGCATATGGGGGGAGAGCAGATGGCATATGGGGGGAGAGCAGATGGCATATGGGGGGAGAGCAGATGGCATATGGGGGGAGAGCAGATGGCATATGGGGGGAGAGCAGATGGCATATGGGGGGAGAGCAGATGGCATATGGGGAGGGGGGAGCAAGAGTAGAGTAGAGATGTACTTGAGCGCTTAGGAGGTCATGCTGTCAGCGTTTTGAGGCGCCTCAAAGGCGCTTCGAGCTAATGGGGAATGGTTGGTTGGCGCATGGGGAATGGTTGGTTGGCCCATGGGGAATGGTTGGTTGGCGCATGGGGAATGGTTGGTTGGCGCATGGGGAATGGTTGGTTGGCGCATGGGGAATGGTTGGTTGGCGCATGGGGGAGCAAGAGTAAACGCTGTAGTGTGAAGGTAATGCTGTCAGCCGGAAGTTGCAAAGAAGCATGGGGGATGGTGGGATTAGAGCAAGTGAGGGTTCTGAGATTATGGGAAACAGTTGGCACATGGGGGAGCAAGAGTAGAGCTGCAGTGAGGATAATGCTGTCAGCCGGAAGTGGTAAAATGCATGGAGGATGGTGGTGGGATGAGGACGAGGGTTGTGAGCGCATGGGGAACAGGTGGCGTCGTATGGGGGAGGGGAGCAAGAGTAGAACTGCAGTAAGGGTGATGCTGTCAGCCGGAACATAGGTAGAGGATGCTGTAACATAGGTAGGGGATGGTGGTGGGATGAGGACGAGGGGTCTGAGCGTATGGGGAACAGGTGGCGTCGTATGGGGGAGGGGAGCAAGAGTAGAACTGCAGTAAGGGTGATGCTGTCAGCCGGAACATAGGTAGAGGATGCTGTAACATAGGTAGGGGATGGTGGTGGGATGAGGACGAGGGGTCTGAGCGTATGGGGAACAGGTGGCGTCGTATGGGGGAGCAAGAGTAGAACTGCAGTAAGGGCCATACTGTGAGTGAACGGTAGCAAAATGGTGAGTCAGTGAGTGAGTGAGTGAGGAGTCAGTGCAGCCTGCACAATGGAAAGTACACTTTGAGCTAATTCTTGCTGAATATGCAGACAAAGATACTCACTAACACCTAATCAAAACAACTAACCTAATTTGCACAATTGCTAAGGGAAAACTACAGCTCACCTAAACTACACTTGGCGCGGAAGCTTTTACGGCACTCTGCAAGGAGGCCGCGAGATCAGGATATCTCAATCACGGGCATTCCCCCCGCACCTCTACTGCTCCCTCCTGCTCCTCCTGCTCGTCTTCCTCCTCTAGCCCGAGCCTCCCCAACCTCCCTCGCCACCCTCACCACCCACTCCTCATCCACCTCCTGACACCGCGCCAGCTGGCACCTCTCGATTCGCCCGCACCCCTGCAGCACGCGCACGACGCCGTGTGTGGTAACCCCGTTACAGGCGCGGAGGGAGAGCGTGGAGAGCAGCGGGCAGTGCGAGGCGATGGTGTGAAGGAGGAGGTCAGAGAGGTGGGTGGCACGGAAGCCAGAGAAGCACATGTGCTGCAGGCGGTGGCATGACTGCACGAGGGGAATGAGCCCCGCCTCTGAGATCTCCCTGTGGGCGGAAAGCAGGGAGGGGGGGCAACGGGCGTTTGAGAACAGTGGGGGACAAGGAAGGTAAGAGAAAGCAAGACTGCACGAGGGGAATGAGCCCCGCCTCTGAGATCTCCCTGTGGGAGAGGAGAGGGAGGAGGTGTGCAGGAAGGGAAGAAAGAATGGACATGTGAGAGGAAGCCAGAGAAGCACATGTGCTGCAGGCGGTGGCATGACTGGATTAGAGAGATGCGATGAGCCCCGCCTCTGAGATCTCCCTGTGAGGGAGGGAGGATTGGGCATGTGAGAGGATAGCGGGGGGAAATGAAGTGAGAGGCTCGAACAGAAAAGAAGCCAGAGAAGCAGATGTGCTGCAAGCGGTGGCATGCCTGGATTAGAGAGATTGAGTCCTGCAGGCGATGGCATGCCTCTGAGATCTCCCTGTGGGCGGGCAGCAGAGAAGGGAAGGGAGACATTTGAGAGGATGGAGTGAGCAAAGGGCTCAGAGGGAAGAGATGCCAGACAAGCACATGTGCTACAGGCTGTGGCTGTGACAAGGAGAGGGATGACCATGTGGAAGGATAGAGTGAGTGAAAGGGACGGAAGGAAAGGAAGCCAGAGAAGCACATGTGGTGCAGGCTGTGGCACGACTGCACCAGGGGGATGAGTCCTGCCTCTGAGATCTCCCTGTGGGCGGGCAGCAGGGGGGAAGGAGTGCGGGAGGGTGGGAGGGAGAAAGGGAGGGATGGGCATGTGAAATGTGAGAGCAGTGTGGGGAAAGGAAGGTATTGGGGAGCCCATCCAGCCTCTCCAGCTGCAGACTCTCCAGCCGGCTCCACCCCAGCGCACCCCAGCACCGCACTGAGCCGAACTGCACCCAGCAGCACCGCATTACACCACAATACACCACAGCTTACCTGCAATATTCCACGGCGATTGTGGAGAGGCGGGAGCAGGT